AACTTCGTCGTGTGCGAAAATGTTTCTCGCCCGAATTTTACATATTTATATGTCTACCATCTGTGCGTAGAATATTGCTGTCACATCTCGTCTAGTGCTTCTGCTATATTTCTAATTCAACGTCGACTCCTACTGCCATTGTTATCATGAAAGTGTGTAGATAACACCATACCATTGCCTACTTGTCTGAATGGCCGCCCGAGTTAAACGGCGTTTCCATCAGTGTTTACACTTAGTTTATCAGCTGTTGGACGTGATTTGTTCTGTAGCCTTAATAGGATACTTTTTTCTTCAGATGGAAAACTTTTCAACCTACAACACACACCGGTAGCAACCGCATACTGTATCAGTATAACATTTAAAGTGCGTCAGGTCAGCATACCATACCAACTTAAACGCCGTTTTGGTCAATGTTTACACTTAGTGTATCAGCAGTTGGACAGGATTTGTGATTTTGCCTTGATAGAATATTGAATTCGTGTTACTATTTTATTATTTTATATTAATGTCTTGGTTAATAGGTCAAATATGTCCAACAAAGAAATTTGTGACAGCCTGTTGGCGATACCGAAAGTGGTGTACAGTAATTGCTGTCCCACTTGTTTACAACTCGCTGATAAAAGGTGCTTGCATTTTATACCCGCCAGATAAGTCGACTCCAAGTTTGGAAAGTACTTCGCAATTTTCGGCAATTTCATTTTTTTTCTCCTCTTTTTGCTTCATTATATATTTGGTAGACGAATTCGCTTTATGAGTGAATCACTTGAAAAAATATAGAATCTTTAAACCTGACATATTTCTCACACACACACACACACACACACACACACACACACACACACACACACACACATACACACACACTTTTAATATCTAATTTATCCTCTTCCTCTACATTTCTTTTAAAAATTTTAAACATCGTGCCCATGTCTGACCATTTAGCAACAGTAAAAAGTGCAAAAGATGAATTTTTGCTCAGTTTGCACAGCAGATTTTCATATAAAGCAGGGGGCTTCATACTTTTAAAAAATGGCGTATATCCAGAATCCATACTTATTAGCGCCGTACTTCGTAATAAAATTCTCAAAGTTCCATCAGCATGGCTGATGCTAACCTCCATGAGATTGAGACATTGCACCTTATCTGATTAAAGTTTTCAGCTGACATGAATTGGTAAGAGTATATTAAATCAATTCCTAAGTCTGGAGTTAATAATGTTGGTTAACTATGTCTTGCTAAACCATTTTTTCTCGCCAGAATCTATCTTACATATTTATAAGTCTTTCATTCACACTTGCTTTGAATAATGTGGCCAAAATCTGGTCTGGGACTTCTGCTCTATATTTAGAGGTTCTTCATAAAATCCAAAGAAGAACCTGAAATAGTATTGTTCGTAATGTGTTATCTCGGCTTCAGTCACATTCCATACTACCTGGTGAGACGGAAAAGTACTAGGAAGAGGTAAACGTCAAACAATTATGTCCTGACCCCAAAAAGATGAGGTATTGAGCAAAATTTAATTAGCTTCGTGGGAGGTATTGTAATGTTACATACCGTATTTCCTATGTTGACTGTAACTACATATAGTGAGCACAGGATATACCTGGGGGCTTGCTTCGGCAATTAGTTGGAGTTTCGTCTCCAGCTAAGCTAGTCGAACTCTCTGCCTTCGGGCGGAGAGGAACCTAGACGAGGCTATGCCAAAGGGCAGAGTCTCGTCTTGGGTGGTAGACACCTACCCGACCCCGTTTTTACGGGGTCTACGGAGAATTTATACCCGAGCCTACGGACTCGGTTTTACCCCGCATTAAATAACGGCCCTGTGCCATATCTGACCGCGTGGGACGGTTGGCAAATATCTTTGCTTCGTCACTTAGTTGGAGATTCGTCTACAGCTGTGCTGGTCGAACACTCTGCCTTTGAGCAGAGAGGAACCGTCTACAGGGAATTTTTGCTCTAGCCTACGGTCTCGGTTTTGCTCCGCATTAAAAAAAAAGGCCTTGTGAGACATCCTACTTCGGCAATTAGTTGGAGATTTGACTCCAGCTGTGTTGGTAAAACTCTCAGCCTTCGGACAGAGAGGAACCAAGTCGAGGCTTTGCCGAAGGGCATAATCTCATCTGCGGTGGTAAACAGTTATCCGATCGCGTGTATGCGGAGTTTACGGGGTATTTTTGTCCGAGCCTAACGGCTCGGTTTTAGCCCTGCATTAAAAAACGGCCTTGTGCCATATCCAGCCTCGCGGTGAGTTAAATTAGATAACCTTGCTTCAGGAATTACTAGCCTGCCACCCGATTCCCTGTCTTTCAGTAGTGTATTATCTTTTACAATAAACCTCTCTTCTTTCATCTACACGCGTGTTGCTGTTCATCCACTCGAGTACCACCTCTGTTTGTAACATCATGTAGGATACAACACTAGCATAATGTAGCTTCCCTGTGTCTTTTCTATAAATACCTTCAGGGTAATTATTTTAATGATATTTCCTCTGTGGTACCTAGACTTTATGAATTTAAGTGCAGTACTAGATTGGCGGAAAGGTCCCATCATTTTAGAGTTTGAATGATTAGATGTAATCGGAGGTTCTAATTTAGCAGTTGATTTCTCTTACACTTCCTCTTTGTGCAATTCTCTTCCAGATTCTTGCTTCACAGTCAACTTTGACCTTCAAAAATTTAAATGAAATGTCAGTCGTTATCTTCTGTCGTCTTAATTCTTATTCTTTTATTGTCCTATCTTCATAATAGTTTTTCTCACATTTGCTAACAATCAGTAACTTCTCGCGTCTTAGCGGCTTTATTGCCTTGCTTGGGGTAATTTTCACTTTTTGAAAGCTCAGCAAAATAACTAAAAAAAAAATATCCCATATTAAATAAGATTCGAGAGTTAATGATATTGATGATTTAAAGAGATTTTTTTTCTTCTTTTTGAGTAATGCCCATTTCAATCTTCGACAGAATAAAATGTAAGGTTCCATACACAGGACATTTTTTTTCTAATTTCTTGATATTTAAAAAATTAATGAAACATTTTTCTTTAATTTATTTATTTATTTTTTGCATTTTCTTGCAACGGAAGATGTAATCTCCAAATAGATAACGCTTAATCATTATCATCAGTCCCATGACTGGTTGTGGTCGTAGGGTCGCTGCGCAGATGAGCATCTGACTAACTCCTTCCATATATCTTTGTTGCGTACCAGTCCCTGATGTTGTTAGTCTATTTCCTTCTTTTTGCCTAAGAGGATACTTTAACCATAAAAGTTAATTGTAACTAATGTAAGCTTGCCAGAAGTTTTAAACCTTTCTTCAGCTAAAGAACTTCATATAAGTTTAAGTCTTACAATAATATCTTGTGATGGTGATAATCAACAACGGGTTGGCACCTATCATGTATTCATTTGAATATATCTTTGGGACGTATTTGCTAAATACAGTGCTGAGAAAAAGTCTTGGACCATTTTAATTAATAATAAATTTCTAATAATTGCTGTCTTATGAGTAGATGTTCTTTATTGTGCAATCTACAGATTGAAATTTGGCCATATTGGAGTCATTTTTTCCATGTAATCATCATATTTTTAGCAAGTGTTCTGAAAGATCATTGATAATGAAAGGCGAAATACAAAAAATAACCGTGCAAAATTCTTCAACTACCCCATCTATTTTGTATAATCTTTACTGTTCCACCGCTGAAACGTAAATATTTTTTTTTTCTTTACAGGCCGGATTTTTTTCCTATATATAGGGTAAACATTGATATCGTTTTTTCATACTTTTATTACAAGAAATAATGACAGAGATCCCCCCCCCAAAAATGGAGATACTGAATGATATGTCCCGGAAAGGGATATATTTGAACGAAGTAGCTAAGTGGTTTTGGCTACTATAACCAAGTAGAATACGGTAGCAGTAATCGACTGGTACGCGTCTTAGTCGCAGGTAAGAAGTGTAGATCAATGGCTTAGTCCAATGGGCGTCGTTATAGACTTAGCTCTCAGACTAAGGCTTTTGATTTCTCTGACTCTCCTACGCGTCCGTCGATATTTATGACGGACACCAGCCAATCACACTCCAGTGAGGGGGAACACATGTGTATGCATATTTCATTATATCACTGAATATGGCCAAGAATATGAACTAGCGAGCAATCATAATTCTCAAACCACAGTGTTTTGAATTGTCCAAACTACAGTCGCCTTCAAAAGCTTCAGCATATGATAACATAGAACCTGATCAAAATCTAAAAGCTCAGTGAATGAAAACTGATAAACAAGTGAAGAGTGAGTGCATCTTGTTCAATTTAGCGTCGATAACATTATGTCTCCCCTTCAAATCAGCCGCTCTGTCAGCTGTGTCTTCAGAATACGCCGACGCAACCTATACAGAAGGATAAGAGCCTCCAAAATAAGCCGTCCTGTTTAAGACGATAAACTACATCCGCACTCCGGGTAAGACGATAGCAATCTCATTGATCAGAAGGGTTTGGAGAGCGTGGAACCACCTGTTGATTGGAGGCGTTCCCAGGTCCAACATGACCCGGGGTAGTAGCACCTGTTAGGGTCCCAGCTAGTGGCAAATAATTAACTTCAAACTGGTTTCAAAACGCTATGAAAGTGTAAACATAGGTCTTAATACTAGTAATACATTTTTGTATAAAATCATTACAAGCAATGAATTTTTTTTTTTAAATTATTACCAGCAATACATTTGAGAAAAAAATATTAGCAGCAATATATTTTTGAACAAAAATATTACCAGCAATAAAAATCTTTGTCGACATTAAATAACCCATTGAGGTTGATATGCCGTAAAACAAACCAAACCAAACCAATATATACTGAGATAGATAGATAGATAGATAGATAGATAGATAGATATGAAGAGGCCAAGAGAGATTTTTTGATCATTTACAAACCGGATTTATATATATATATATATATATATATATATATATATATATATATATATATATATATTTACAATTACGCCGACTACACCTCAGCAGAAGGACAAGACCCTCAAATATGAGGTTGCCCTGTGTAAGAAGATAAACTATATCCTCGTCCTGGATAAAACGATAAACTACATCCGCGTCCTCGGTAAGACGATAAACTACATCCGCGTCCTCGGTAAGACGATAAACTACATCCACATCCTGGTAAGACGATAAACTCTATGCACGTCCTGGGTAAGACGATAAACTACGTCCAGCAGCAAGGCCTCTGATCAGAAGTTTTTGAGAGACGTCGAATCACTGGTTGTCTCATGTCCACCACGACCCGGGGTGGTAGCACCTGTTAGAGTCTCAACTATAAGAAAATACTTAACCTCACAAAAGGAGTCAAAGCACTATGGAAGTGTAAAAATAGGTTTTAATACCAGCAACACCAGAAGAAAAAATTATTTCCAGCAATACATTTTTAAAGGAAAAATATTACCAGAAATATATTTTTGGAGGAAAAATATTACCAGCAATACAGATTTAGAAAAAATATTACCAGCAATAAAAAATCTTGTAGGCATTAAATAACCCATTGAGGTTGATATACTGTAAAACAAAACAAGCCAATATATACTGAGATAGATAGATAGATAGATAGATAGATAGATAGATAGATAGATAGATAGATATGAAGATCAAGAGAGACAGATAGGCATGAAGAGACCAAGATATATAGATAGATAGATAGATAGATAGATAGATAGATAGATAGATAGATAGATAGATAGATAAAAAAATATTACCAGCAATAAAAATCTTGTTGGCGTTAAGTAACCCGTTGAGGTTGATATGCTGTAAAACAAAATAACCCAATATATAATGGGATAGATAGATAGATAGATAGATAGATAGATAGATAGATAGATAGATAGATAGATAGATAAAAAAAAATATTACCAGCAATAAAAATCTTGTTGGCATTAAGTAACCCACTGAGGTTGATATGCTGTAAAACAAAATTACCCAATATATAATGAGATAGATAGATAGATAGATAGATAGATAGATAGATAGATAGATAGATAAAAAAAAATATTACCAGCAATAAAAATCTTGTTGGCATTAAATAACCCATTGAGGTTGATAAGCCGTAAAGCAAAACAAACCAAACCAAACTTTCAAATCATGAACTGAAGAAATGTATTTCAATGGAGAAACCAGCTTTAAACAAGAAATATTTGAAGGCCATATTAAGTTGGACAAAATGATATGACAGTTTGGATAAGTTCACATTCATCTATGGAACAAAGCTGCTTTCTAATAATTGGGAATTTATCAGTGAGACGAGAGGAAAGTGTAATACCCTACGTTGCACAATGAAAACAGTAAAGTTTTGGGGTAAGGTTCGGATGATTTAGGGCTGCAGAGAAACATATGGTTGAAGAAAACTTGTTAAATCTGAATAGTTCCAAATACATCATGGTGCTGAAGGAACATTTGTTACCAGGATGAAGGTGATAGTTTTTAGCATTACGGAGCTCCATATCACAGATTACTTGCGACAAACAGAGATGGATTGATGAATGTGTCACCGCATTGAAGGATTGGTAAGATTAGAGCCTTGACTTAAAACATGGAATAGATGTTAACAAAATTAATGAGCAGAATTCATCAGAATACGCGGGAGCCTGTGTTATATGAGATCAACCACAGGGAATCGTATCTTGTACCTGTGAAGCTAGTGAAAACATTGTATATATCCCATCCCAGGTTCATGTAAGCAATTATTCAAGCTACAGGAAGCAGAAAAATATGAACAATGTGCATTAATTTCTTGAAATTAAAAATATCTTATGAATTTTCATTAGAGACATTTTTTCTGCTTTAAAACACAGCATGTGATTCAGTTCATGTGAGGTGGCTGAAATCTTTTACAAAACCATTTTTGAAGGTCGCCTAGAATTTTCCACGCTACAGAACCCTTGCTAATATATATATATATATATATATATATATATATATATATATATATATTATATATATTAATTCGGTGTGCAAATGACTCCAAAATAGTCAAAGTTTCATCTGTAGAAAGTACAATTAAAAACATCCACTTATGAGATGGCAACTATTAGAAATTTGCGAAAGTTAAAAATGGCCAAAGTCCTTCGAACTGTACTGAATTTCAATTCAACAGTTTATCTGGCATTTTTTTTAAATTCTGACTCGCCTTATTGAAAATCTATCTGGGCAATGTTGTAACAGACGAGAGAAATTCTATCAGGGTACTGTGGTAACAGACCACGGAAAATCTATCTGTTTTGGCACTGTTGTAATACACGGAAGAAAATCTGTCATGGCACTGTCGTAAAAGACGAAAGAAAATCTGTTTTGGCACTTTCGTAAAAGACGAAAGAAAATCTGTTTTGGCACTGTCGTAAAAGACGAAAGAAAATCTGTTTTGGTACTGTCGTAAAAGACGAAAGAAATCTGTTTTGACACTGCTGTAATACACGAAAGAAAATCTATCATGGCACTGTCGTAATAGACGAGAGAAAATTTATCGTGGCACTGTTGTAAAAGCAGATGAAAGATAATCTATCTAGGAAAAAAGAAAGGCAACTTTCTTTCTCTCTGACAATAGATTTGTTAAATCTTATCCATGCACTGAGATATTTAAGGTGTTTTGGGTTTACACTGTTTACATCCTTCGGACTTATTTTTCCTCATCTTTATCGCCATATTCATCGTGTTTCAGTCGTTGTATGCTCCGGCCTTCTTCAGGTGATATATGGGGTAAATTTCCAACCGAACACTTTATTTAGTCCACGGGAGTAGATTATTCCAGTTCCACGTGCAATGCATTTTTGGATATTTTTTTTCAGTTAATTTCAACGTATATGACCTGAAGAAGGCCTGAGAGAACCATGACTAAAAGATTGTGAATATGGCAATAAAGATGGTATTTATCAATCCACCCACGGGGATCGAATGTGGCACAAGGCCTTTTTAATGTGGATATCTCTGAGCCCGTAGGCCCAGCCAAAAATAAAGAACCATCCAAACCCGCCGAGGCGGGCCAGTTCCGTCAACCTCCCCCAACGAAACCCTATTCTTCGGCGGAGCTTCGACCGGGTTCCTCTCTGCAAGCAAAGAGTTCGACAGACACCCGACCCGGCAGCTCACAAAGCGCAGATACTACACTTTGATCCTAGCCACCGATGAAAGACAAAAGTCCGAACGATGTGAATAGTATAAATAGTTACAATAAATCATATCAGAAATATATACAGATATTGATTAGAAATTAATAATTCAACATTCTCAATTGTTATGATGCATTAAAAGTATAATCTATTAATACTCTCATTCTAATTTAAGATTAGTTTCAGCTTTGGAAAGAATTTTCTTAAGTGCTACTCCTTGGAAGCTAAAGATAAAGACTGTTGATGTACCGAATATGAATACCTACACCATTTGCAAATTAATTGAAACAAGACGAATAATTCGATTATTATTTAACTTGTTTCGTATTTTTTCAATGAAACATGACCCAGTGCACATGTAAAATATATATATTAATTCGGTGTGCAAATGACTCCAAAATAGTCAAAGTTTCATCTGTAGAAAGTACAATTAAAAACATCCACTTATGAGATGGCAACTATTAGAAATTTGCGAAAGTTAAAAATGGCCAAAGTCCTTCGAACTGTACTGTATTTCAATTCAACAGTTTATCTGGCATATTTTTTAAAATTCTGACACGCCTTATTGAAAATCTATCTGGGCAATGTTGTAACAGACGAGAGAAATTCTATCAGGGTACTGTGGTAACAGACCACGGATAATCTATCTGAGTATTGTCGTAACAAACAACAGAAAATCTATCTTGGCACTGTTGTAACAAAAGAGAAAATCTATCTTGGCACTATAAAGATAAAGAATGTTGATTCTGTTGTTCAAGATCATTGTTGTAACAAATATGGATACCTACACCCTTTGCAAATTAATAATTCCGTTATTATTTACTTTTTTTTGTATTTCTCCAATGAAACATGACCCAGTGCACATATTAGTACTTCGTATATGCATTCCACGATGTCGTTCCGTGCAAATTGACCACAGATGCTCGACTGGATTTAAATCAGGAGAGTTTCCACGCCAGTCTATAGTGCTTTGATTTGTTCACTGGTAAGGCTTGCCAGTGTGTTCATGCAGCGTTACAATTTGCCGTAGGACAACTAATCAACAGTCGAGACAATAGTGTCGGGGATAGATGAAAATTGCTGATGACGCAATATTTTTCAAGGCCAAACAAATTTTATCATAAGCCCCGAAAGTAGGTTCATATTACTGCACACCACTGAAAATGACTTAAACTGAGGAAAAAATAGAAATCAATTACACCGTTTCACTCCAGTGGGTCTGAAACCGAACGTAGGGTGAAAGAAAGAGAACTACAGCGGTTGTTTCAATTAATTTGCACAACGGTATATGTGATCAGCATAACGCCACTCAAAAGTAACCTAACCTGGAAATGGAAAGCAAGAACACTGATTTTAATCCGTAAATTCTCTTGGGACTTGATATGTAATGCATACATTAACAGTGCACATCTTTTTTCTCTCTGTGCTTGTAAACGCACAGAGCAGAAGATTTGGGCTCTCATTTCCTGTTTGTACTCGTGACGATCTTTGTTACTAAGTTTATCTTATTCGACCTTAAAGTTACATGGGTAAAACCTACAGGATCTCGTCCTTGGTAAGACGATAAAGAATATCCAACAGAATGTCTTTGATCTGGAAGTTTTGGGGGGCGTTTGAACCACTTTTTAATTGCTGGCGTTGCCAGATGCCTATTAAGTTCGCAGCCATAGGCAAATAGTTAACCCACACACAGGTGCAAATCACTTTGAAGCAATTAATTTTTGAAGGGA